TGTTCACGACCCAAAAATGTCGCACACCAAAATGGCACACCGCCAAAACGCCTCATCTCAAAATGTCCAATAGAGTAAAAATACTCAATTTGTTGAACAATACATATAAACTGGGAGCAATCTTGCTAAAAATAGGTGTTTGAATGACTGAAAAAATGTTAAATTTCAAAATATAAATTGTATTTTTCTTGTATATTTGCGTGGATATTTTGGGCAATTTTTGCAATTTTTTATGCATATTATAGTGCATATTTTGCATTTTTAATGCATAAAATTCAAAGCTCTACTTATTAAATATACTCTAAGACCTGTATTCGACTTTAATTTAAAATGCTTTATTCTGAGTAACTCAAAGTTAGGTAAAAGTGCCGTTTATGCTTCTGTTCCCCTTTTTTCTCATTTTTTCATCTCCCCCAGAAAAACAAAGATTATGAAAGAAGTCAGCGGTAATTGGTGAGTCTGGTACTAACTCTATAGAACAAAGAGAGATAAGAAATTTTCTTACTCGCTATGCCACCCTCCTCCAACTGTAGGCGGAGAGATAGATCCAACGTTTTTGGACGAAAAGTTTGATTATCTGCCATCATTCCTGATAAATTTGAATTAGTTTGAGGAAATTCATTGTCTCGGGTTGTATCGTGCCATAAAGACTGAAAAATAAAAAAAAATTTAGAGAAACAGAAGTGTGGAAGTATGTGAAGAAATTACTAAATCAGTTTCTCCAATGTATCAGGCCAATTCAGAATTTAAAAAACTTAATTCCAAACATAGATTTAGATTGCAAGATATTAAATTTTTAAAATAAAACGCGGATTTTAGCATGAATGTATATTTATTTAAGGGGATGGTTTGTTGTGATTGTTATTTTTTGGAAGCCGACAGGGTCGGTTAAGTTGTTACACGCATATCATCCATCTTATAATGAGTAAAGACTGTTATGGACTAGCCCATTACTTATCACAAAAAAATACTTCAAATTATTGTTTCTTCAAAATAATTTTTCATTCCAGTATTGAATTCGTCAAAATAAAAATTATTAGAAAATTGGGTACTCTTCACTTATAGCTGGTTTTTAATGCGTGGACGGATGTGGACGTATGAGGTGTCATTCGACTCAGCTCGCCGAGCTGAGTCGAACTAGGGGTGGGAGAAGTTTGTCCAGTACCCAGGTCCCGAGATATGGTCGATTGAAAATCGAAAAACCAAAGGGGGGAGTAAGCTCATATTGGGATGAAAAATTCGAATATGCAAATAATAGCTCATTCGAAAGAGCTCCTCAAGCTGAGTTGAATGACACCAAAATCGACGAAATCTGATTTGATTTGACAAAGTTATGCTCGTTTGTTTTAGCTCGTTACCTATGGTCTCCGTGGAGTTTTTTGCTGCTTCGGAGGCCCCAGGTATGTCCAGAGTAGGGGAGATAGGAATAGGTTTATGTTACGAGCCCAGACCCAGCGCCCGTAGACTCCCCGCGAGGCGCGTGCCGCAAAACCCATCGCGAAGCGCGGGGTTTTGCACAAACGCCTTGCCGACGCCCCATAGGTTTATGTTGTTTGTTTTTTGTGTTATAACTTTGTCCAAACTTGTTCAATAGAGCTGATTTTGGTGTCATTCGACTCAGCTCGAGGAGATCTTTCAAATGAGCTATTATTTGCATATTTATGATGGCACCTACGATTTTTGACCATTTTGAGCCCCCTGTATCAAGGTCCCTAGGTACCGGACAAACTTCTCCCAACCCTCATTCGACTCAGCTCGTCGAGCTGAGTCGAATGACATCTCATTCGCCCATATCCGTCCACGCATTAAAAACCATCTATAAGTGAAAATTTTCGAAAATTGATGACAATTTTGTTACCGTTGATCAAATTCTTGAGGTGGTGAATTTTGAAGTAAATGCATTGAATTATTGTTGTTGAAAATATTGAAATTGTCTGGATTGCTTCCAAAATTGTGAGATTTTCCAATTAAATGTTGTTGACTGAAAATTGAGAGAATGATTAATCTTTTATTTTGTTAAATTAATAAATGGTTGACAAACACTTGTGAGATTTTCTAGATTTTTAAGAATCATAAGCTGACTTTAAGAATTTTAAACACCTCTTATAATTGCCTCCTTATTAAGTGGCATCCAAAAAATTAACCAGCAACATATGACCACGTGACTACCCAATAGGAATTTAAAACTTAATAATATGCCTAATTTCTAAAATTTATATTAGAGACCGGCGCGGGACGGGATCCCGACGGGATTTTCCGGGATCCCGATCCCGAAATCCCGGATTTTTTTGATTTTCGGGATCATTCGGGATTCGGGATTACTCCCTCGGGATCCCGTCCCGGCATCGGTTAAAAAATAAAATCCCGACTCGGGATCCCGACATTTTTTTATAATTTTCGGGATTTTTATAATTTTCAAAATTTTCGCCTGCGGCGCTGAAAAAAGAAGAAATATGGCTTAAGGAACTCCAAAATTCTCGAAATTTTCGCCTGCGGCGCAAAGAAGGAATATTTTTGGCTTAAGGATCATCCAAAATTTTAAAAATTTTCGCCTGCGGCGCTGAAAACGGATACGTTTTGAGTTATTATTGGAGTAAAGTGAAGGAATATTAATACATAGTGGGATATTATCAAGGGACCTAGTGATTAATCCACTGATATCCCTCTAAATCCATTATAGAGTGAATTAAAGGAGGAGCACAATCCAATTATAAAAAATTATTGATATTTTTACAAATTTAATATTATTTACATATAAATTGCAGTATTTTGATGCACTTTATTTATAAAAAGTTTAAATTTTTTATTTTGAAAAAAATCACGAATCCCGGGCGGGATCCCGGATAATTTTTTTCGGGATTTTTGAAATTCGGGATTTATCCCTCGGGATCCCGTCCCGGCATCGGTCAAGAAAAAAAATCGCGACTCGGGATCCCGGAAGTGCGATTTTGCCGGTCTCTAATTTATATTAAGTAATAAATTTTCAATTATGTACAAAGTTTGCTAATAGCAATGAAAGGTTGATATTTTTGCATGAATTATACTTGCTGGATTTGCTCCGTTTATTTTAAATCTTATAAACAGTCCGTGAATACTTTTAAACAACTCTTGTTATACTTGCCAACTTAGTTTCGTGGCATCCAAAAAATAAAAAAACGCGTCTCAACAAAACAGAAACCAGTAAATAACTAAACTTAAAAATACGACTAAATTCAAAAATTAATATTACGCACTAAAATTGTTTCAAGATTTTTTAAGCTCTTTGTCCTAAATGATACAATCCTAGGCTTTTATTGTCTTGTCTATCAAATGTTAATTGACAGCGAATTAGACTTGAATAAGCAGTCAAGATTTTTCAAGTCACCTCGTTCGATTCTCAAACAACTCTTTTATTCGGGCTCTAGTCTTGTTTGTCAGAATAAGTCTTATTACCAGGCTCCATTAACATTTGTATTTCTATTTAATTTATGAATATTTAGAGGTATTTTAACCAACGGTTCCATTGGTCAACTTATATACGTGTTGGCATCCAAAAAAATTAAATTGTCCCTGTAAGAAACCTAACCGAGTAAATATTTAAAACTTTAATATGCACCAAAATTTAAAAATTAATATTAAGCAATAAAATTATTCGGTATTTATGTATTGGCTGAAGCAAATAGTCTGCCTAATCTGCCTAAACTCAACTGCTCTTATGTTGTTTTCTCTCCTTTACCGGTTTTTGTTTAACTCAAAACTCCCCCTCTAAAGAAAAAATAATTTTCATCCAGTGCACTATCCACACTATCATTAAAAAAAGAGAGAAGCTAGCTAGCGACTGCTGGTCAGACATACACTTGCACTATTTCCCCGACACATGTCTGTCACTTAGCGACATTGACATTCGATTGATTATTTTCGTAAGAGAGGAGTTAACCATTTTGGTACTTATGAAGATGGAGGTGCCCTTTCTGCGGACTTTTTTTGCGGACTTTTCTTCCCTTCTTTTAAATGTTTTACTTGTAGTAACTAACTGTCAACGCCACTCCCCCATTATTCTTCTTACCTAAGATTGTACATAATGGTCAGATTTTCTTCTTCCTCTCCTTCCTCTATTTGCCCTGTGGCAAATTCAAACAAGAGACATTGATGAAGAGAAGATTAATTTTATAGTCATACACTTATTTTTTGCCTTCGAAAACAATTTAAACAAAAAAAAAGAATTAAATAAAATTGATTTGGTGTATAACATTATGAATTTGTGTGTAAAAACATTACATTCTTACTTCTATTTTAAAATAATGAACAACTGAGAAAATAAACTGAACTCAGTATTGAACAACTCAATTAATTTTAATCTTCTCTTTATCAACAATATCTCTTATTTGAATATGCCAAGCTCAAACAGAGGAAAGAAGGAAATCTGACCATTTTGTACAATCTTAAGTAATAAAAATAATGGGGGGGGGACAAGGTTTGAAATTACCCGCATTTCTGTTCCACAATTACATATTCTTTTTCTATGAAGTATTCCGAGATCAGTGATCCATTGTCGAAATTCATCATCGGGTAATTGAAAATTTAGTTAAAGTCAAATTTTTTATTGATTGTAACATTTTTACGCTTATATATTCAAATTAATCGTGAACACATATTTTTCAAATTGGCATAAAAAATAATCTTTTGACAGTTAATTGCTACGAGCAAAACTTGCTGAAAGCAAAACAACCAAAACATTTAGAAAGAAAGGAAGAAAAGTCCGCAAAAAAAAGTCCGCAGAAAGGGCACCTCCATCTTCATAAGTACCACCATTTTTCTTCATTTTACTTAACCAAACAGCCAAAAATTAGTTCCCCAAACATAACTAGCATTTTTATAAAATTTTGGGTTGGTCCTCTTTAACTTGGGTTATTTTTGAATATTATAGGGCTCAATTTTAAAGAGTTTGTCGAGCTGGTTTTAATCTTCCCTCTTACTCTGGGCCCAAAAAATTAATTTTTTTAAAATTTAATTTTTCTAAGAATGCCCGTCAAAAAATCTCAATCAGCTTGGTATTTGGATTGGATTAAACGTATTAATGGAGACTCGATTTACATGACTGATGGAAGGATTATTTTTTGTAGGGCTTGTATGCAACATGTAAATATGCTTTAAATTGATTTTTAAATAGGGACCTTATCTAGTTTAGGTACACATTCAGTTCTAACCCCCCATTAATCACACACCAAAGATAGAACTTCTTTCAGAATTATCAAATACGAGACGCCCTATCATGGTTCCATGTCCTCGAACCATACCTGAGTGTTTGTGCACGTTTCTCGTTGGAGTCAACGGTTGTGTACCTAACCTAGATAATGTGCGGTGTGTACATAAACTAGAAAAGTTCCTTCCCTAAACATTTCTATTAAGGTGCCTTCAGCCAAATTTTTCCAATTAAATCAACACAACCAAACAACTAAACATCGTTTAAATTTGGAAAGGTTGGCCAATGAAGGCAGTAACGACAATCAAAATTTTATGGAGCAAGGGACTAGTTGTGGTTCTAATGAGCTTAATATGGATTTTGTTGGAGAACAACCGTGAGTTTAGAAATTTTATTTTGAAAATGTTTTTCTAACACGTTTCGGTTTAATTGCCATATTAATATGGCATCCAAAAAATATCCAGAGTTGGCTGGTCTCCTGTACAAGTCATTAAAATAACCAAATCTTAATAACTATACCTAATCTCAAAAAATTACTAATAAGTAACCCCATATTTTTTATTATACTTGTCTTATTAGAATCGGCTCGACAAACTCTTAAATGTTCTCTTATACTTTTCTGGTATTTACGTTCTTTTTTCCTTTAAGCCTAATCCTTTAAGCTTCAAAAGGAACACTCGGTTGCTGGTAAATGTTGCGTTTGACCAGCAACCACGGGCTCATTGTACGGTCACAGATCCTCTGAGGTAAATTGTATTGTGATTCCTTGTTAACAATTTTTTTCGAAAGGTATTAGACTTTAGGGAAATTACACAACTCTACATCTCTCCTCTATTTTTCTAATCTTCTCGAAAATTATTTCTCGATTTTAGGACCATATTTTTATTCATTTTTATTCCTTAACAGCATTATGGACGAATACTCTAAAATATTCTTCTTGAAAGCCGTTTTTCAACATAAAGATATTCTTTTTGAGCCTTACACAGGAAGACAATCTTGGGAAATTAAAGACAAAATGTGGCAGCAAATATTTAATGAATGTGTAAATGCGGGGTGTAGAGGGTTGGTGGATGCTGAACATTTGAGGAAAATTACTTGGCAAAACTTGCAACGAAGAAGTAAAGAAAAGTATGACAAAAGCAAGAAGGTTCCAGAAGGGACAGTGAAGTTTTCGAAGGTGGGGAATTGCTCAAAATTTTGGGGGAAGCTTGCGGGAACTAGAAATCAGACCGGGATTATCCCTGATATCTCGAAAAATCTCGGTCTCGATAACCACTATTTTCATTCGATATCTCGTCTCGTTCCGGTCTTTACTTAAAAAGATTAACAATAATTCTTTAATCATTGGGATCTTAAGGGTACAAGCTCCTAGCATGTCCTTACGCACGGGGTTGTGGAGGCTAAAAAGGGGTAAATAATCCAAAAACATGCCTTTAAGACGCGGAAATAATTTTGGAGATTTTCAGACTGAACACGAAATAACCTTTAAAAATGTTCCTTCTATGAGTAGAATCAGAAAAGCCCAATTCAGAAAAGCCCAGAAAAGAATCAGAAAAGCCCAATTAAATCAGAAAAGCCCAAAAACTCTCACTTTTAACAATTCAGATTGATGAGCTAGTCCTCGACATTATTGGGAGAGACAGTGGGAAACTCAACGGAACTGACTTTATTGTTAATCATCAACCTTTATTTACTGGAGAAACAACGAGTAATTTTGATGAAACGTTAAATATGGTGTCGGGAACGCCCGAGACACGAGACTCGGGCGTTCCCGGGTAAAAATAAAATTTTTATTTTATTTTTTATTCTTTTGTCAGTCGGTGTGAAAAAAGTGAATCACCGACCAATCAATTCACATTCCTTTTTATTTTTGTGTAAAAATTTTTCTTTTTATAAAAAAATGTTTTTTCTTTCAATAAAAGATTTTTTATTTAGCCTTCTTTGGCCTACAATCTTTTCCCCTCATCTTTTAACAACAACATTCCCACAATAAATTTGTAATGTAAATAACTTATTTTTAAAAGAAGATATAATCATTTACCCCCACTATTTAAAGAAGCACACTCCTCCCAACAACACTTCACTCTTTCCTCATCCCACTTGGGACAGCAACACACCACAACAGGCGCTCCTTGCCGGAACCGTTCCCTAGCCTTCTTTGGCCGAGAGAGCGGTAACGGCAAGGAGTGCCCCGACAACAATGATTGGCTATCCCTCTCCTGTGGCGACCCAAGAACTTAATAAATTTATTAATTTCGCGATTTTATTCATTTTTCACATTTTTCGTTCACACATTTTTTGTTCACACATTTCTTTGTTTAATTCGGTTTAATTACCCAAGTTTAAGGTGCTATAATAAAATATTATATTAAAACTTTTGTCTTCGTTTTATTAATTGTCAGCAACCCAAATATTTAATTTGACGTTTCTGATATCTGGAGCCCCGACAACGAACGATTTCGTAAAAATTCACAACAAAAACAACAAAGCAACAAATTCAAAAGAAAGTGGGGGACAAAATCAAATTGTTAGCAAGAACAATAAAAGTAAGTTAACTAAAACAAAAGCCAAAGCTCTATTGAGCCAGGATAAATTTATTAAAAAATTTTTTAATAAAAAATTTATAAAATAAAATTAAAATAAATAATAAAAATGTCTTCAATAACATCAAACAAAAGAAAGTTAAAAAATATCATCGAGATCACTAAAGAATTAATAGCAACAGAGGTCAAAGGACCAACAGAAGAAGAAGACATTCACGTACTTGAAGGTCAGAAAAGGAAGATAAAAGCAATAAAAGAAGAATTGGAAAGCAACACAAGAAAAATTGAGATCATTCAAGATGAATGGGAAGCAAACATTCAAAAATTGAAGACAAGTGAAAGAATCGAAGCCGAAAATGAACTAACAAATTTTATCAATGAAAATCAGATAGAAAGTATTTACAAAACAGCAAAAACAAAAATAAGAAATTGGAACTCAATTGAGACAGACTACTTAGTCATGAGGTCTCAAAAGGAACCGACACCACAAAACGAACAAAATACAACAATGAATGAATCTAGAGGAAATACCCACGGCCTCAAACCACCGTTACTAAAATTAGTAACATTAGAAGGACCAAATTGGTCAGACTTTTGGCCTATATGGAAACTATTAATTCATGAAGATGATAGTATTCCAAGGTTACAAAAAATATGTCAACTCTTCGCGCATGTAAGAGGAGAAGCAGCAGCCGTACTCAAAGGTATAGAACCACTAGAAGAAAATTATGAAGTCGCAATCGAAATTCTTAAAGAAGAATTTGAGAAAGAAGAAACACAAATAAGAAAATTAAACAAAGAATTACTAGGATTAAAGACCAGTCAAAATTTTAACGACGACATAAAATTGTTACGCGACTTACAAAGAATAAATCGATTAATGAAGACACACAAACAAACAATAAATATTCCAGCAATATCTCTAATGATAGAGCAAAAATTAAGCAAAGCCGTCTTAAGGCAAATGCTAAGTAAGAAGAGACAATCAAACGAATGGAATACAGAAATCTTAATAAAAAATTTGGCAGAAATCATAAAAGAAGAGCAAGCAGTAAACGAAGTATACAAAGAATCACATCAAGAAATTAACGAAGATAAAAGACAAAAAACACCATATAAATTTGGGAAAACCACAATGCAATACACAACAAAAGAACAAAGAAAGGAAGAACCAAAGAAAAAAGAAGTAAAAATACAAAACCAAATTCAACCAAAGCAAGAAGAAAGAAGTAAACCAAAGTGGCCATGTCCATTTTGTAACCTTAATCATTGGTCAACGGATTGTAGAAAAATCCCAACAGCAGAAGAAAGATACAAACTAGCAAGAGAAAAGAAGCTATGTATCAACTGTTTAAGACCAGGACATCAGAGCAAAGAATGCTCAACCAAAAACAAAATATGTTGGTTTTGTAAGAAGCAAGGACACCATCAAGCAATTTGTTTAAAACAATTTGGAAAGAAAGAAGAAAGAAAGCAAATAAACAATAATATCGAAGAAGAAATTCAATTACAATCGGTACGAACAAATAAAGAAGAAAGTAACCAAACTAGTATATTACTGACAACAACAATTACGGTATTTAATCCAGAAATACCGTACAAACAGGAAAAGGTACTCTGTTTTTTTGACAGTGGTAGTGATCAGAGTTACATTAGTAAGAACCTAGCAGAAAAACTTAACCTCAAACTAGAGAAGTATAACAAAGTTAAATTAACAGGATTTGCAGGAGCCAACCTTGGCACCTACACACTTGCAAAAACAAAATTAGGAATACAAACAAAAAGAGGAAAAAGAATTTATCAAATGTCAGCTACGGACCAACCGTTAGCAAAAATGACAATAGTGAAGATAGAAGGAAAGTATAGAGAGCTTTATCAAGGAGAATTAAAAGTACCAAACCACAACACAAGCCCTGAAATATTAATAGGGAATGATAATTACAATGATTTCTATATAAAATCGGAAAGAAGACTGCCAAATGGATTTTGGATTAATAAATCAACTGTAGGAAAAATGATTAGTGGAAAAGGAAATCTAAAAATTAAAAAATGGAATAAGCTTGACACCCAAAGTCATTATACAAAATTAGACAGCTCTCTTGAGCACAATAATGAAGAAAAAATAGAATTCGTAAACAAACAAGCAATAGGTATGGAAGACGCAACAAAAACACTAGAAGAACATAAAACGATGACCAAATTGGAAAATGATGTAAAACAACACATAACAAAGAAAATAATTGAAGAAGTGAAAGACCCAATAAAACAATCAAAGCATACAATTTATATACAACGCCAAAATCTGGCAAAGAAAGATGTGGGTAAACCAAAAAATGCTTACAATGTTAGCGTTAAATGCAAAGCATCAGATCAATCGTTAAAAGAATGCCTAGAAAAAGGACCAAAATTATTAAAGCATTTAACAAAAAACATAAAAAGCAATCAAACCCCTAAAGTGGGAGAGCTCATTTTGATAGAACAAAATGAGGAAAACAGAAACAAAGGAAAATCAGAAAAATTCGAGAATTCATATGCAGACAAACAACGTGATCGATTTCGCTGGCCAACAAAAAGTCCTCCTTTGGACTTACACAACATCTTACGCCCTCCTGGGCCGCAGAATAGAGGCAAGAAAAGACTTTATTGGACCTTACTCTTACTAATTTTATTAATTTCCAAGTTCAGATGGACCGTCGGGCAGTCGGCAATGATGTGCAATGAGGTGGCCCCCGCAAGAGTGATCGACTTACAACATCGAGGTATGTCTTGTTCAGAGTGGTTACCGGGTACCAAGGTCAAATTAAGACTGCAAGTGTATCGGGTAAATATGGAAGCCAGGGAAGTTACAGCAAGTAGGTGTGTCATTGTAAAACAGAAGGTAGAGTATTGGGAAAACGTAATCGGGGAAGGAAGAAATGTGACCACCAGCGAAACACTCCCGATTTCGAAAGAAGAGTGCCTTAGAATGACCGAGACCGACCACTGCCAATACGGACCACTCACAGCAACTGAAGGAATCAAAAGGACTCTGAACGAGTTCAACCCACCAATCGATTACAGCTATTTCTCCACACAGCATAGTCAGCGAACGAACTGTTTCCAAACCGACGAGAAATTATATTTTGATCCATCCACCGAAACACTTCACTCACCAATCGACAACATGGCCAAGTGCTCACTAGAGGATGAAGAATGCCCAACCGAAGGAGGATCACTAATCGTCTGGAAGAAACCCACAGAGGAAGTAAGATGCAAGTACACATATCTCGCCACTTGGCACGGAGATTATTACCCAACCGAAAAAATTTGGACCAAAGAAGATCTGGCTTTATCGTTCACTTCAGAACCTCAAACAAAAGAAGACTGTGGACACGACTACGTAATGTCAGACCAAGGATACTTAATAAAACAAGAAGTATTCGACAGAATCACAAGAATGCGAAGCAAAAGAGCGACCGTCAAAACCGAGCAACTTGCAAGCCAGCTCACAGCGGCGCAACTCAATAGCATAACCAAATTAAAGACTACAGTCTGTTGGTTGCTGAACACTGGCCTACATAGGCTCCCGTTCACGGCCATGGACGCCACAACAATAGCTCGAAACCTATTCCAACAAGACTTAATCGAAGCACGATGGATAACCAACAGCGGGCGAAACCTCCTGGAGGTAAAGAAGTGCATTCGAATAGAAAAGAAGAACGTGCAATTCCTACCTAACGAAGAGAAGAACTGTTTCAAGTTTCTACCAGTCAACATCAGTATATACGACAACTATTTCCAAGCATACTTAGATCCAGTATCACTAATAATTCGAGAGGAGTCAAAAAATGGAAGTTGTAAGAAATACCGAAGACAAACAATGCTTTGGGAAGGAGAACTACTCACAATAGACCAAATTGAAGGACACGTAGTCAATCACCCACAAGCCGAAACAATAACGCTAGACCAACTAAACGGCTCGAGCTTACCAACTTTGGACACGCTCATCTTCAAGAATTTAGAATTAACGAACGACTCCGACCCAACAATCAGGTTGCTAGCTTCATTTCGAACCTTCGCCAGAGGACAACACATGCAAGCAATCATGAGTGACAAAAGTACGACAGAAAATTACGAACCCCAACGGTTCGACTACACCTTCAGCTTAACACAATGGATGTCTTGGGAAACTGCGTTCAAACTTACGTTCGTATACAACATTCTATCCATACTATACATGTACATACTCCCATGGGGAATAAAGAAGATACTACAGCGCACCAATCTGATCGAGGCCACACACAATAATGAAGCAACAAGAAGACATTCGATAATCCGGATACAAGAGGGAAAAGAAGAGCCAACTCTAGAAACAATTTCACCACCCGACACCCTCAGTAGATACGAGCTAAACCGAATCTCAACACGAGTGATGCGGAAGTTAAAGGACAGGGACCAAACTAAGGTCCAATTCCTGAGGGAATAGCTACGACGTGGGGAGTGTCGGGAACGCCCGAGACACGAGACTCGGGCGTTCCCGGGTAAAAATAAAATTTTTATTTTATTTTTTATTCTTTTGTCAGTCGGTGTGAAAAAAGTGAATCACCGACCAATCAATTCACATTCCTTTTTATTTTTGTGTAAAAATTTTTCTTTTTATAAAAAAATGTTTTTTCTTTCAATAAAAGATTTTTTATTTAGCCTTCTTTGGCCTACAATCTTTTCCCCTCATCTTTTAACAACAACATTCCCACAATAAATTTGTAATGTAAATAACTTATTTTTAAAAGAAGATATAATCATTTACCCCCACTATTTAAAGAAGCACACTCCTCCCAACAACACTTCACTCTTTCCTCATCCCACTTGGGACAGCAACACACCACAACAGGCGCTCCTTGCCGGAACCGTTCCCTAGCCTTCTTTGGCCGAGAGAGCGGTAACGGCAAGGAGTGCCCCGACAACAATGATTGGCTATCCCTCTCCTGTGGCGACCCAAGAACTTAATAAATTTATTAATTTCGCGATTTTATTCATTTTTCACATTTTTCGTTCACACATTTTTTGTTCACACATTTCTTTGTTTAATTCGGTTTAATTACCCAAGTTTAAGGTGCTATAATAAAATATTATATTAAAACTTTTGTCTTCGTTTTATTAATTGTCAGCAACCCAAATATTTAATTTGACGTTTCTGATAATGGTTGCTAAAGTGAATTTTAATTTAAAGAATACTTGAAGACCTTATTATAAAATGCCCCCTTGAAACTATAAAATAGCATCTAATAACGAGTACACAAGTCAGTCAATATATGGCTGCTTAGACTTATCACATAAGCTGATCTACAAACCTCTACTATTTTTTTGCTAGAAGATATCTAACATCCAAAAATATAACCGACTAGACTATGATAATCTTGTACGTAAGGACATTTAGTCTTAATAAGTGACAGTAATAAACAAAAATTATACTGAGCATCTAGTGAAAATTCCTTCCTCTCACAAGTTTAATTACCCCCTCCCCAAATTTAAATGATTTAAATACCTATCTTACCTAAGAGATAGCACCTAGACAATCCCCTCACCTTTTAATCCAAGCAAAATTTAAAAACATGCCTTAAAATGGGGTGTATATCAAGGACGGAAAGAGTTGTGGGAAGGGACGGGAAGGGCCATCTCAGCTCTGGTTTATCTCATTCTGTGGGGTGTCTTATTAGGTCTGAATGTACAATCTATTCAAATTTTAAATTAAAGGAAGAAGCAATCTCCAACCCTCCATCTCCAATAAATCAAACAATTCCATTAGAATTATCAATAATTGGAAATAAAAGAAAAACTCAACAAAAAAGAATGGAATTTTCAGACGAACTCGAAGAATTGAAGAAAAGAAAAATGTGTGCGGAAATAGTTAAACTTGAAGCTGAGGCGAGGCTTATTAATGCTCAAGCAGAAATGAAAGAATTGGAGGTTAAGGAAAAGAAAATGCAGTTTTATAATAGACAATGAGACACTTTTTTGTTATTTTTGTGGATTTTAGTTTGTAAAATGTTATAAATTTTTTGTTAGGCCACACTGTAACATCCAAAAATTATGATAAATTAGCAAAATAGTAAAATATGTAGAAGGTATGAACGATATTGAAAAATTAATTGTTAGAGAGTGACTAACATACAAAAAATTACGAATAGCGCTACAAGAAAGATATATACTACTGGGTTCAGTTCTGGTTTTAATATAATTAAAAATTCAAAAATTTTATAAGGAGCAGATACTAAAAAATATGATAAATTAGAGAAGAGTTAACTAGACGAGTAAAAAGATATGAAAAATAATTGTTAGCAAATAACATCCAAATATACACAGAAAAATGCCTAGTCCTAGCGTCTATAGGAAATGATGAATTCATAAGTGAATTTGATTAAAATTATAACAAGTCGCTCATCTCGATTTAGTTCTGATATTATAAGTAGAGCCCGGATTTTATGCACTAAAATATGCACGTTTGTTAGAGTTAAAACTAACATCCAAAAAATAATGGCGGACAAAATGAAGCTATGCTTTAATTCAAATTTTTGCTCAGATACTTAAAAAGTAATATAAGAAATAAAAGCTATTAAACATGATAAAAAACGTTTGGCCTTTCCCGACTAGAAAATAACATTTTCAACAATAGATGAAAAAAATAGATGAAATAAATTAAAATAATAAAGTTGAACGTCACTTTTAGATACCCCCTTCATATAAAAAAGTCGTCACTTATAGAGGTGTATCTTACATGTACTGCTTAAGTAGAGTATCGCTCTCCCCACCCACTTCTTGTCGACCAGATTAAAAACGTATCTTAAATTACCATCAGCCCCCCAACATACTACGGTCAATCAAATCTAAAAGGTCTCTTAAATTATGGAGTCTCTTAAATTAAGGTGTCTCCTTATCGGGAGTATCTAAAAACGAGGTTCAACTTTATCTTCATATAAAAATACCCACCCATTCAAATACGCAACAATAGCAGAATTGCTTCTCTGTGCAGGATACACACCACTACTTGTATTTGTCATTTTTCCACTTGCAAAGATTGGAGGTGTTCCTGTAGAATTGTTATTAGTAGCAGATTGCATTGCAGCATACGCGCCCAAACTAGCGGCACTGCAAGAAGTTGTTAATATTGTACGTTGTTTTGAATCTGGACCTGTTTAAATTGAAATTAAGGTTCGATAAAAAAATTTCTGGAAAATTTTTGCAAGCAAGATTCTTTTGACTCCCCAAATGGCACCACCTCCACTAGATTTTATTTATTTGTCAGATGAAATAGCTGACATCCAAAATATATGGAACTGTAACAGGATAAAAGACGCATTTATGTTCAGTAAGGTAAATTTATGTTAATAAAATTAAAATAGAAAATAAGGAGAAGAATCAGGATCTGTTCGAAGACACTATTGAAACGCTTAAA